TTTCAATACGTGTGTATTTTCTGATTGAACCAACTGAATGTTGCTCCAGGGAGATCACTTGCCGACATATCTGAAACTTTAAAGTACTCTGAATTGGTTAAGAACATTTTCGTGATACAGTACGTAGAAACATACTGCAAAAATGCCGTCCCAAACAACATAAATCGCTGTCTCCAATATGTATCAAAAATGTAGCAAACCATAAAAATGATAGGGAAGGAAAATATGTAAAACAGTCCACATATGTACATCTTTTTTAAAAAATTACGAATGGTAGGGACCTTTGCCACTAAAAATAAATTATTTATATTGACGTGGTATACAATGGCTAGTAGTACTCTCAAGGCTAGTATTATGTATCCCGTAATGTTATCATTGTCGAAGAATTTGGATGACGACTCCATGATGTATGTGTTATCCAGGATGACTAAGACGACCTGCAAAGAGGCGGGAATGGCAAAAATGGTGATAAGCGCCTACGTGCTCGAGGGCAACAGAAAAGGCTACAACGTCGAATATAAGGCGCGTCAGTGTGTACACGGGGAGGGGAAAACATAGATAAATGTATGCATATATGTATATGGATATATCTATATCTTCTTTCGCGCGCTCTCATGTGGTAAAAAAACGAGCAGAACTATATCATGGTGCTTTAACACTGAGAGCCATTTTTCAATTGAAAAAATGCCCGGTCTCATCGAAATGCCCACTGCTGCGCGACACACCCGACTTGTGCATCGCTGTTAAAAAAAGAGACAAAGTGGGCAACGAATTCGCTGTACAGCTCAATTTTGGCATCTCACAGGTGGCGGTATTCTGCATGGTGAACGAGCACACACATTTATGCACATTTATGTGCGCTTCGCCGCTCATCGGGGCTCCGTCCCTTACGTGAAAAACCGTAATGATGGAAAAAATCACCTTGATCCTGGTAAAAATGTCGAAGGAGGCCTCGAAAATAGTCAAGCCGTAACTTAGCGAAAGCAACATGGTGCACATTATAATTTGAGCCAAAAAATTCAGCAGGTTGAAAGAAATCTTAAAAAGCTCAATTCCAATTCCGTTTTTTGAATACACCAACAAATGGATAAGTAGCAAAGAGTTGGATATTAGCTGCACCGAAATTACAAAAGCTACACATATGACCATTGTATGCTTGTGTTCTTTCGACACGATGTTCTGCATGATTTTTCTACCATATTGTAAAATTAAAAAGATGTATAGAATAGTTAAAATAAAAGTGAGAAGAGGAGAGTATAACATCTCGTAGGAAAAATGGGAATTGTTTGTCTGGAATATATTTACCTCATATTCGACCTTGAACCCATCGTTTTCGTATATGTAATCTATGACTTTTTCGTAGAAGCCATTTTTATACAAATTGTTGTACATGTTGGTAAAATTCTTCATATTTTTAAAGTTGTAATATTTAAGGAAAAAAGACATGTCTTCTATCTCCCTCTTTGTAAAATTATTTTCGAAAAAGAGGAGTCTCTTAGGATTTTGCAAAAGGGTATTCTTATCAAAACTGTATGATTTATAGAACTTGGAATTGCCGTCATTATCGTCATGGATATAATCATCCGAATGGGCATCGTCGATGACGTCCTGATCCCACGCTCCAGACGCTAGGCTCGAAATGTCTTTCTTCTTTGCGGCATTTAAAAAATATTCCCAGTAGGCTATTTTAGCCTTTATGTTTAGCTTCAAATTACGGATAAAAGTGTGGTAGCAATCGTCAAACATTAAAAACCATACATGAACACGGTGTGTTGTTTTGGCGCTAATGTTTACGTATTCGTAATTAAAATCCTTTTCATTCGTAGAAGAAGCGTAGCTAGAAATCTCCGATTGCAACACCTTGTTGTTTTTTAATTCACTGTGAATAGTATTGAATGGTATGGAATATTTATTACTCATAAAATTTTTTAAGTTGTACGTTTTGCTGTTAACTAGATCGGAGTATTTAAAGTGAAAAGGTATCTTCAATCTATGAACGCTTCTTAAATTTCCCAACGCTTGACACTTATCCCCTTGATTTACATAATTCTGTTCAATATCCAGCATTAGCGTTACCCTCTGCGATATGGCATACAGGTCATTGTTTGTCAATACATGGTATGCATTATCATAATCCATGTGGAACAGCTTATCCGTATGGTTTCCCTCATCAGTGGACGATTTGCTGCTCATTTTGTAGTAATAATGGAGCAACTTTGCAATGATGTTATCCTTAAGCTTCATTTTTATATTGAATTGACACGTGCCTATGCTGCAGCTGAATTTTGTCAAGTAGTGTATTTTTTCATTTTTTCTAATATTGAAGCTTCCGTGGAACACTTTTCCTTGCACTTCGAGGACAGTTGTCAGCAAGGAAATAATCCAGAAAAGGAGTAGGTAGCAATTTTTTTTCGCCATCATGTCGTCCTCTTTACGTCACTTTCTGTTGCGTCTATTCGGCCAATATTTCACTATACAACTACGTTGACTTCTTTTGTCTTTTCTGCCGCAGATATATTGGCCAAGAAGGCCATAGTCGACTTATCAGGGGAGTTTCCGCAGAAAAAAAGGCGCTGCGTGTTCGCGTGTAGAAATATTGCTTTGTAACGAAGCATATGTGCTACTACGCTTGTCGCGGTGCATGCGTACCTTCTCTTACGTGCGTGCTGAAGATCACGTCCTAGAATGTCACACACATGTTTTCCATACTATTAGACCCACAAGAGGCAACCGAAAAAAATATTCCTTTTTTTGATTAAATGTTAACACATGACGTAGATTATCTAGCACTATTCAAAGAGGTAAAAAAAAAAAAAAATGTACGTACAACTTAAAAGAAAAGACTAATGCAAAAAAAAATAAAATAGCAGCATGGAACAAAAATGCACCAGTGAAACAACAGCAAATGGGTAAAACAATAAAATTCAACAAGAACAGGACAAACAAAAAGCGAGCAAGAAAACCCCACTGGGAAGATAAAACTAGACAAAGCACATTTCTATACTGTTTTAAATATAAAATTGTGAACTGACTTGCAATAGGGCAAGAATGTCGTAAATAATCAACATTTAAGGCCATTTCGCACCATATTTTTTTTTTTCCGCGGCTTAACATAATATTACATCGTAAGGCTTGTCTATGAAGAATGGTGACACCTGTTTAAGTGCGTGAAGGCAACTAAGCTGTTATGGAACACCCCCCCAAAAAAAAAACACAAAAAAAAAAATAAATAAAATTAATAAATAAATGAAAAATCACTAGCGAGGTAAACAAGAACAATACGAAATTTAAGAAAAAAAAATTTATCGAAAGTTTTTCAAAAGGGAACATCAGAGTATATCCATTTTTGCGTTGCACTTATGCTTCTTTTTTTTTTTCACCCCGAATGAACATGATTAAGTGTTCCCAAAATAAACCCGAATTGTTTGCACGGAACATTTTTTTTTCAGAAACACGACGTAAAGCATGTTGTGCGTAGTTAAGAAAAAGTGTAGATATGCATATACATATATGTATACATTTTTTCCGCCTGTACCATTTTAATTAAGCATTTTGATTACGGACATCGCTTCTGTTTGCGACAGATTGAACCTATTTGCCACTGTGCCTTCATATTTTCCACCATATTGACAAGCTGAGATGTCTTACATTTATGTTGATATGCAAAGGGATGCAAAAGGGAGTTGCAAAAAGTAAACTACGTCGAAGGTTCCTATTTAAAACGTAATTCAAGCTTTAACAAACTCAACCTCTTAACACTTCAACGTGATTTTTTTTATTTTGAATGAATACATTTCTTTTCATTTGTCTGCCTTTGTACAGTTTTATGCGCGCCAAAAGATATGCCTAAATTTACGCGTGTGATTGTTCCACAGAAGTTCTACATAATGACTCTGTTGTGCAGCGCTTATTAAGGCTCAGTATTGATTATATGAGTACGTAATGAGTACTTGTCCCCTTTTTTTTTTTTTACAAATTTGATGTTAATTCAAAATGTAGAGCTTTTTTCTCAAAACAAAGGAGTAAGAATGAGGTTTTCACAAATGTGGCATTTGAATGTACATTTTTAAAAATCTTCACGTGACGTCATCTTGTTCGAATATATATGTTGTTAAAACGAAAAAATAAAACAGGAGGGGAGAAAAAAAAAAAAAAAAAAAAAATTTTGAAATGTGTATAAAAAGCTAGCTGTTATGTGTGAAATGGATTTTTTTTTTTTTTTTACTACCATACATTCATTCATAAATATTTACATGGTTAAAAAATGCTTGTTGTTAAAATGACGCTTTCGTTTTTATTCTCAATTAATGTGTGTAACATTTTTTCGTAATTATGTGAGGCTCATTATGCGTTTTTTTTCTCTCTCTCTTTTTTTTATGTAACCTTTTTTAAGTGTTGTAAAATTTGTTGTCTTTTATATGTTCTCGTAAATGTGTGCATATATGGGCAAATATATATGTGTGCTTATTGGATGTGTGTTGACCCCCCCCAACTGTGCCCCAAAATTATTTTTTTTTCATGTGACATTTTTCTTTGTAAGTTTCTTTGTCCTCCCTTTCATTTTTAAAAGGTATCACAATAGCGAAGTTGTTTTAAAAAAAAAAAAAGTTTCGTCGTTTTGATCTCCCAACATTTCTCCTACAAATTGGACACTGCGATTAAATATCCAAGTTGGAGAAAACGCGATAAATGCGTAAACATGCCTGAATAAGTACATATGAACGATCAAATGCAAAAGGAAAGACAACACCAGACAGGGTGAATTTTCTTATTTCTCACAAGCTGCAGCTAAATCTCCTGTTAGGAGCAGTTTAGTAGGTGAATTGTTCCAACGACACAAGGTTTTCTTCCGTTCGCCATCAAAAGAAAGAATAAAAGGGCCAATAATACCGTCTTTTCGAAAATAACTACTGCAGCGTTTTGGATGAACCGCCATACGAATAGCAGCCGAAACAGCATCAAAAATTGCAATCATATCACCCTGTCCCCTTAGCAGCAAAATGTCGGATATATCAGACTTTTCCGAAACTGAGGAGTCTTCCGAAAACGAAAATCAAAAGAAATTATTCAAAAAGAAAGAGTCCAGAAAGTTCACTCTCTCACAGAGCTACATTACAGACAATGCGGAGATGTTCAGCAAAAACAGCAGCATGCGAAGCGTTGACAATGCTTGGGAAGTGAATGGAAAATTACCTATTCAAAAGTCAGGAACATTCACATCAACAAAAAGTGGCGTGACGAAAAAGGGATCTCATGATGATCATATGCTACTTGGAGACGAATCGACATCGTTTAAAAATTTATATAGTGCCTCTAAGCTGAATGAAGAAGGGAAACCCAGTCCCAGTCCCACTCGCAGCCCCAACTCAAGAGTAGCGGATTGTGTCATGTCCCCACCAAAATTCTTTCTGTCGCATATTTATCATGATAATAAAGTGTTTACAAAAAGATATGGCCACTCTATAGTAGAATACGAGAATGAGTTCTTCATATACGGGGGAATCAATTCGAAAAATGAATATCTAGACGAGTTTCTAACATTTACGTATGGCCTCAACACATTTACATCTAAAAAGTTGAGTATAAATCCAGGGAAAAGAGCCTATGCTTCTATGACATTAACATACGATATTAATAAGAACCCATCGTTATTGCTATTTGGAGGATTATGTGGTCCAAACATACTGGCAAAAGATTGCTACATGTATGACTTTATGGAAGACACATGGTCCAAGTATACCTACAAATTAGAGACCAATCCAGGAACAAGATATGGACATTCTTACACCTTTTGCTCTAGTACTTATACGACCGTTATTTGGGGTGGACTGAACAGAAATAACGAATTGTTAAATACGGGTTATAAATTCCTTGGTGGAGAATGGTCAGAAATAAAGCATAAAGGAATATGTCCATCGGGAAGAGTCTTTTCTTCCATGGTTTGGCTAGATAGGGTTACAAAAGAGAATGTCAATTATACTTTTCTCTATCTATTTGGTGGGGACACGACAAATAAAGGGACACCAACAGATGAGTTATGGGTATATAATTTCAACAATGAGAATTGGACAATGGTGAAGAACTCCTCTGGGGAAGCCCCTTGTCCTAGGTGGAAACACGGAGCTGTTATTATTGATAAGAATATGTGGATCAGTGGTGGGTTATGTTCAGGGTGGTTTTCAAATTATTCTATTCCCGATTTGTATGTATATGATATACCTTCCAATTGTTGGTTTAACTGCCAAATAGCATCCAAGCAGATTCATAATTGTTACGATTATGGTACGTTAAATTTGCATTCACAGACAAAGGCTTTTTTCTTGTTCGGAGGGAAGAATGCTAACAACGACCCTACGTCATATGTGTGTAGGTTTGCACCTCTATGTACAAGTGTGTCCATTGTGACCATGAGAAATGAGATAAAGAGATTTTCCAACTATGTCCTTGAAGTGAAAAAGGAATCCGAAGAAACGGCAAATAATGTATCCGAAATGCAGAAGATTATTCACACCTTCAGCCTAGATATAAAAGATTTCAAGATATTATTTGAGGCTCTCACGCGAAGTATACAAATGCTTAAGGAAAACATAGAGAAGGTGGATAGGGAAGTTGCCCTTCTGAGGCAGCACATTTCTGGAGATGAGAAGGAGGATGTTGAGAAGGGTCCCGCAGTGGGCGTCGAGTCTTCAGCCACGGAACCAGTTGCCGAGGGGGAAGTTAAACCAAATGAGGTAGGAGAAGCGGAGGGCCAATGACATGCCGCTCGTCCGGGAAGACACTAAGCAGAGCGGCAAGCGGAAAGTGAAAAGCGCAAAGTGGAAAGTGGAAAACGGAAAGCGGCTAACTTCCTCTGGTGCAATTCGTGCGGTTGTTCGAATTTCATCACTACTACACCGGCTTCATTTTCACTGTTGCGTTCTTTCGAAGCTCCCTCTTTGCATCTTTACGCTTGAGCGTTTTTTACGTCACCGTTTTGAGTCGAGCTTGTTGGATTTATAATCCCAGGTTTGCTCCATTTGGTATCTGCTTTCTGTGAAGCTGCGCCGTACCATTCGACTTTCATTCGCATTTTTTTGCTTTTCCGCGTTTTCCGATCTTTCCGTGCTTTTCATATTTTTCCCATTTTTAAAGACTTTCCTTCGCCTCCACACGTTTCAGCCCTCTGAAACGGCTTAGTTTGGCTATCTCGCATATTTGTCATTTTAATTTAATTCTTTTACAAGCGGCTGATTTATGCCTATGCTGCGTTCAAAATGGGGAGACAGCGCGCGTGCATGAAGGGCGAAGCTTGCCTTTCACGGCGACGCTCCAGATGTGCAAGTAGGCTCACTAGGCGAATAAAATAATCGACATAACCTTTTAACATAAAAAAAAATGCAAAGTGTAAAAGTGGACAGCCGCGGTGTGCTTAGCACATTTGTAAACACTACGAGGAAAAAGAAAAAAATTCACCAAGCTGCTACAATTCCTGCACTTAGTCTATTTTACACGTGTGAGCAAACACCAATTGGTAAAAACAAAAGCTGAGTATAGCTCACAAAATTGCTAGTGGAAACATTTCACCCAGGAGGGTGTTAAGCGGGCATTTTTTGGCCTACATAAACTGAAGGGGATGACACCATGCATTTAAAAAAGGCGGAGTTCCCAAAAAATGACGCCTCCGTAAAGTCGAGCGAGAGGAGAGAATCTTCCATGTGTGAAGAAGATGAAATCTTCTCCAATTCCACCTTGTCTGATGCTGAAAGTTGCTATCAGTTTTGGAAAAACGCCGACAGGGGGTATGCCCACTTACGCAAAAATGCAGCAAATGAGTGTACACACAATATTCGCGCGCAAATTGTGCAAATTGTAGAAACTGTGCAATCTGTGCAAACTGTGTAGGTAATCTTAACTGTGTCCATCAAAAGCGGAACCATCCACATGGCATAATGCATTTTTATGTGTACCTCCTTAATCAGAGACATTTTTGAAATATGCGAAGAGTTCGAAAGTTCGGAAGATGAAAGTGAGGTAAACAACATGGAACACAATTTTGACACACCCAAATTGTACTCCAGCATAGAAACTAACACGGTGCTGATTGGCATGGGCACCACGGTGGAGGATGACACTTGTATGCAGGACGAAGTGGAGAATCCCCCATCACGTGGAAATTAAACAGAGGAGCCAGGCACGCTCATGCGATTGGGAGTGATTCGTAGTAAGCAAATGGGGGTGATCTGACGGGTAAAAACACCAACCAGTGACCCCCCTACCGACACACATACACAATGTTGTACACAAACAGGTGGCTCGAAAAAGAGCCATTTGGGATGGGCCTTATGAAGAAGGTCGACACGCGACAAAAGCGTGCTACGGAATGGCGATTAAATGGACCAAGCGAACATGCCCCCTTGTTTCTAAGCATGCATATACCCATGCAAAGATGAGGCGACGGATAAAGCCGTGCGGGGGCGCTTACGACCAGCGTAGTTTCCCACCACTAGGGCATCTAAAAGGCGCCATAATACCTGTCCTTAATTTGCTCCACGAAATTGTTGTCCACTTTTCTCAGTGAGACGTACGGCTTGAAAATCTCTGTGTAGTTCAGCAGATTCTTTTGAGTCATATCGGCGTATTTATTATCATTTAAATAGGACTTTATTTGAACAAGTGCCCTATCGTGAAAAAGTGGATGGAGAAAATTCTCATCCTTGTAATGCCGCATGACCAGTATGATTATGTGATCGCTGTTTCCATATTTACTGTGAAAAATGCGCGCTTGTGCAAAAATCCTGTGACTTAGTTTGAAGTTTAATGCCTTCATTATGTGCCTGTAACTATCGTGAACAATATACTCAGACACTATTTTAGCATCCACTTTATTTTTTTCCGGCGTTTTGGAAATGGCTGCGTGTTCATATTTTCGTAGTAGGCAAATATTTTTTAACTGACTTGGCTGTAAATATTTCCTGAACAAAAAATCTCTGTCTTGCGATTGTGGCGTTAATATATTAAATTCTTCTTTCATCTCAAATTTGAAATAATCATCAACCCACTTATATTCGTTATTAACATCCGATCCTTTGGTTATTATATTTATAAACGTTTCATATTGGGGATCTTCTTCTAAACGAATTTGATTGTCTGACATGTAGAGGCTACTTAATGAATATTCTGTATATTTGAAAAAGTTTTTTTTTTCTAATTTTTTTCCTATATCATCTTTGAACAAGTTGGATCCGTCCCCTTTGATAAAATGTGGGATGTTCTCCTCATTTGTGCCATCATCATCATGTCCTCTGTGTTTTCTATTCCCATCCGACAGAAAATCCTCCAATATTTGGGCCAAGTCTTTATTCATTCGGGGCAGATGTGTTTACTATATATGTCTGCAGTTCTAAATTTGGAGTAGGAGATTTTTCTTTCCCCTACCAGATAACACCACGCTAAACTCACACTTTTTTTGTAATGCTGATACGTCATAACCGTGTGAGACCTTACGCTCACTTGGAATAGATAGAAGCGGGAGGGGGGCGTTAACAATCCGGTTGTCACCATATGACATATTTGTGGTCTACCTAGGACACACTTCGCACAGGAAAGATGCCTCCTTTTTGTGGGAAAAAAAAAAAAAAATACGAATTACCTCCCCTTAGCAGGATTCATTCTTATAGTACATTCTTCCCACTCCTTAATAATATTCGCAGGCAGAATTGCACAAACGGGGGGAAGCGCCCCTGCGTAAATCTTCCACGTTATCTCACTTGGAACGGTAAAAACGTGACAGAAGAGGAGTAACAAAATGGGAGCATACGAGCACAAATTATGAGTAACAGCCTTATGTGAATGTAGAATGAGTGCAGATAAGACCGCGGCGAAAGTTTATCTTCACTTTATGCATGTCCTTGTTGGAGGTGCACCTCTTTACCGCTCTGCTCCCACTCATCTCATACCCCATTTTAGTTGCAACTGCAGATATGAGGATATTTGCCAATTTATCCACGTTTTGATTTGTACTACATTTCCTCATTCCCTTAAGTAATTAAATGTCCCAACGGTTACCTTTTCATAGGTAAAAAAAGGTTTTCTCTCAGAGGAGAGGAACAAAAAAAAAAAAAAGAAAAGTACCAATATGAGAAGCGCGGAGTGTAGAAGCACTGCAAAAAATGCACTCATTACGCCTAGCCTTTTATGACAAAAAAGTAAAAGAAAAACAAATTATCGAGTGAGAGAACAACACCATTTGCCAAGAGGAATAAAGAATTATTTAAAAAAAAGCAAAACAGCTGATCCGCTTTGCCTCGAAAAAAGGAATGGGGAGAGCAGTTTTCTGATACGAAGCGATGAAGTACAATTTCAGCATGGAAAGAATAACACACTGAAAAAGAGGCCCATTGAATATTCAACTTACCTGGCTGTCGTTTGGGGTAGCTCACGAATTACCCTGGCGTAGTTCGGAGCAGAGCATTGCACTCAGCTGACTGTGATGAGCTATAGACTTTCCACATGGAAGGTGCTAACAGCAAAATTTTTGCCCGTGGCATATTTCATCTTATGATTATGCCATTCAACAAATATAACGAATCAATCTTTTGCATGACCTTTTGAAGCGTGTTAGCGCCTTTTAAATATATACAGAAGAATGTGTCCCTAATCTTATTGCGCATAATTTTTTCCTCTTCTCTGTGTTTCCTTTCCCTTTTTTTTTACGCCATCCTGGCAGGGAAAAAATTAATAAATCAACGGAATTGGGCTTTTTATTTTTCCCGTAAAAAAATCATTTTGGCAGAGTAAAAAATTTGAGTCATATTCTATTTATTTTTTTTTTAAAATTCGGTTATCTTTTTATGGCAAAAATGTATAGCAAGTGAAATTTAGCATAAGTAAATTATTGTTATTTCTGTAGAAATGTTTTTTATCTTTATTTGCTTCTTTTACCGTATCCTTCCAATATATTATGTGTTTATTCACTTCGAAATTAGCATAAAAATGTGGTAGAATCGTAGATGCTGCAATTCGTTGTATGACTTTTCCTGGTTTTCTGTACGTACCTCCTATACATTTGTATAGTATAAACTACCCCTATATTCTACTATTTACCGTTTCAAATTGTTAAGCAGCAGAAAGCATGAGGGAACTCTCAGGTATTATATTATTCCCTCTGATGGATGGATAGTACTTATTTTCCTTTCCATATACTTAAAGAATACATTTTATATTTCTTCTGGCACATCTCTACGATTTTGTCGTTTGGTACGGACTGCAACCACCCCCATCGTGTTTATGGCTTCGACGAAGAGGAGCTGATCACGATTGGTAGGTACTATCCATATAAGCTAATTACCCTCAGCTTGAGCTATTATCCGCACGTTGTAGGAATGTGTGATCCACATCCCAAGTGACGCATTTCATTTCTTATAGATTTAATGATTTTTTTAATCACCTCGATTAGTACACATATAGGGAGTAGAGGGTTACGGCATTTAGCTAAATTGTTTGTGCATCATAATTGGTTTCTTTTCCCTTTGTGGAGATTTTTTTTTCTTTTTTTTTTTTTCTGCTCTCTATACATTTTGACACAATAATTCCGTAAGGCGAAGCTCCTCAGATGAAGCTATCTAAATGGGAGAAGTTGGTTATAAGTCCCTGTGTTCTATTGCTCTCTATATAATTCCCATTTGGGGAAATTCAGACCATGCGTTGTCGTTGCAGTGCTACTATCCGGAGTGCGCACTGGGAGAGCCTATCTTAAAACCTTTCATATATAAATCAACTTCGGCAAGAAGCTTATACCATAATTTTGCATTTTCTTTTTAGTGCAAAAATGGCATGTCAGGTGGATGCAAAAATTGCCACAATTGTGCACACTTGTTAAGCACGTCCCATTGGGGGAGGAAAACAATAGGGAAGTTCTACAAAAGAGAAAAATTCAATCAACGTGGCTGGAGCGAATAATATGCCCCTCCATAGCCTAACTCCCATTTCGCTTAATCAGCAATTTTCACCAATGAAGCTGTCTCGCATGGTATATGGACACTTACAGACAGTCGGATAACACCTGGTCTGATACGCATTACGTAGGTACACTTTAAGTCCCCCCTGTGGAAAGTCTTTCTCCAAAAAATTAAAACGTGGAAGATGTAGAAGAGCGCGCGATTGGGGACGAGCTTTTCTACCCTTTGATGCTTATGTGGGGTAGGACTTAGCTCATTTCGAAGGTTCCCTCCTTTTGATAATGAGCAATCCGGTAAAGAAAATATTCCTATGATATAGATATTTTTTTTGGGGGAGGTCATTTTTTCCTTTTTTCCCCCAGCGGACATGTTTTGCGTGTTTTTTACCTCCCCAGTTTGCATACGGCTGATCAGTGAGCACATTTTTAAGGCAAACACGCGGAAGGTATAAAGGGAGGACGCCGGTTGGAGGAGCCCTTTTTTTTAGAGCGGCAAATCCATATTGTGCGTTTCCTTTCCCCCTGTGTGTATGTAGCGAGAATGCTAAACGTTCATTCAAAACATGGAATGCGATTTTGTCTTCTGTTATGCAATCCCTGCGTTCCTGACAGCAATTTCAGAAGTTGCCTTTTCATGCAGGCTAAAGTTATTCCATCGGTGTTTTTTGGATATATTGCGTCTTATCATTTTATTTTCTTCTATTTTATTATTTTTTTTTATTTCATTGTTCTTTTTCTTTTATTTTATTGTATGTTTTTTCTCCTTTTCTAAGTTAACTGCGCCAATTGATGTAGTACTTTGTCATCAGGGGGGAGAATCTCATAAAGACAAAATGAATTTTTTTCCCTTTTAAAAAGCAGCAACGTGAAATAAAAGCAGTCACGCTAAGTTATAAGGGAGAGTATTCACCTACGGACGAAGCACTGTTTTGTAATTTCCCTTGGTGAATTCACGCTGTACATTTTACCATAGCCAATTTACGAAATGTATGTAATTTTGCGCCTTTTAAAATGATAATATTTACGAAGATATTTATATCTGCCTCATTTGGAGTAAAATTTTCTTTTGTAAACTCTCACAGTACGACCGTTAACGTGTTATACGTGATCGAGTGATGCCTTTCTTTTCATTTCGTACGTACATACGAGGTGAATACAGGCTGCAGATCTGCCACAGATGTACATACATACGTGTGTATTTATAAATATATATATCTGTCTGCACGTACGCCGGTTTTAGCGCTACTTCCCTCTTGTCGTAAATTTCTCATTATTTTGGAAACATTTAACCTTTTGCATTTTTACAGCCCCATAGGTTGTTGCTCTTTTGCGCTTGTAGTAGTTAGGCATATTTCGATGACGAACAAAATTGTGCACATGTGTGTACGTATGTGTTTGCCTTTTCATAGATCCCTACCCAAGAGTAACGAAGACAAAACAGAGTGAAAACGCTTTTGTTCTTTTCAACAAGAGGAAAGCAAAGTAAAGCAGCAGTCTTATGTACTGTGTAGAAAAAAATACAGAACTAAATTGGACATAATATGCAGGCCTTCTGTTTCCCCGTGACATATTCACATTTTAACAATTTGTATCAGAAAGATATATATTACAACACGGTTGGAATTTCCACGAGGGGGGATAGTTGAAATAACACCGTTATATATAGCAGTTTGACCGATAAGAGGTTACAGAAGCCACACGTGTATATGTATATACATACATTGCTATGAGGAGACCTTTTTAATAGGTGCATTCGTAACAGAACGTAGAGCCCATTTTTGTGCCAAGGGGGGAAAGCTATCCATTGTACGTGCCCAAAACGTGGAAGCAGCTATTTAGGGCCCCATCGCAGTTGTTAGCCCATTGGAGAGGTGAAAAACGTAAATGGATACGCCAACATGTGCAATCATTTATACCGGGGGAAAAAGCCTTAATGCATGAACTCACAAACACCCGCATGGTGATTTACGAACTGGGGAAGGCATATATATATAACCCTTCGCATCGCCAATATTTCTAAAAAAAGCGTAAAAAATAGATACATCTATGTATAGGAAATGGCAATCAGGCCAAATTAAAATCTACCGTAATTTTCTTCAATCAGGAAAAAATCTGCAGTTCGGAGGAAGAGAATATATTTTATGTATACAACCATCCCCCCTTCTTCAGCACTGCAGCTCACATCATTTTATTTGCTTTTACTTAAGCTTAAGAAAACATGCAGGGGAGTACAACTATTTAATGCATTTTCAGCATAGTGAAGGCTGCTTAATTTTGTGAGCTACTCAGTTGTGAGCGCCTCCATGGGGGGCTTTCGTCGTGCGCGTCACGATCGTGCGATCATATAAGTACATTAGAGCCATTTCAGAAAGGTGCATATTCACATACATGCACATATATATATGTAG